TCTGTCATGAAGATCATCCAGGTCATGGTCAAGGTTGAAGAGTTCTGTCAGGCAACAGAACTCTTCAACCCCGTTTCACATGGACTTCCTAACAGCTGCTTCTCTTTGAGGGCTGGTTTGGAGGTTTGGAGTTGAATTATAGGATTTATTTCCCAATAATCCAACTGTCAGGAGTCCTGGTCACTCTACAAGACCTCACTTCCTCCTCCTCCTGTCTCTGCTCCAGGTTCCCCCTCTGCCTCCGTTACAAATGTCTGTACACGTTCTCTCGTCTACGTTCCTTCTTAACAGTGAGGGGCAGCTGAAGAAGAGGCAAATAAATCCACTGGATCAACAAAAACACACGTGTTTGATAAAGCTCAGGTTAAAGAGGCTCAGAGCCTGCAGCTGGTGAACTCCACCGGTCAGAGTTAAAGGCTGGTCACAACATTTTAACGTGGGCCGCGGCCTCAGGAAACCACGTCTTCTCCGTTCAGTGCTGTTGGCGCCCCCGTCTGGACGGCCTGTGTGTAAACGCTGCGTCGACAACATCAGCAATGCTATAGCTAACAATCGAGAGTGAGGCGATGGTAATTCACGTGGGACCTGAGGCGACAGTCGACTGTGTGACCGTACAGTGATTGAGTTTCATTTTTAAGTCTCGTCCCAAAACGTCCACATTTTGCTACCGCACGTTACATTTTTTCTTGAATTTGTATTCAAATTTTCTTTGTAAAATATATATTTAGAATAGATACATACATATATTCATATATCACAGTAATATACAAACCAAGTGCTTAGAAAATAAAGGCGACGGTGTTCTTTAGTGACGTGATGGCGGTGGTGACGGGTGGAGGAGGGGAGAGCTATGGAACTTCCTGTTTGTAGTGTCGGTGCTTCTTTGGTCAGGGGCTGTCACCTGGTGTCAGTTCTGGGATGTTTTAAGGCAGTAGCCAGACAAGAGTATTTGTCTACGGTCAAGTCTCTACCACAGGTTGTGTACATTTTGTGTACATTGTGTGTACATTTTGTGTACTGATAAAACTGAGACTCTTTTGATTTCCCACATTCTTGTTTCTAAGTCATTAAATGTGCTTCCCGGGTTGGGGTGGGGGGGGGTGGGAGAGAAGACGGTTCCATTCCTCCTCTCATCATAAACAAAAGTGCTTTGTAAGTTTGAAGAGGAAGTGACAACTCTGTACAATATATACAAATATATTACAGCCCTACAAGGTGTGGACAAGCTCAACTTCCTGTCCCAAGTGCTTCAGAGGGCGGGGGCGGGGGGGTCTGATTGTAGGACGAAGGCATGATGGCAGGATAGTTCTGATTGGAGAACAGTCCACATTGTTCCTTAATCCTGCCTCTTGATTCGACTGCTCTCCCCGGGGCCTTCCACCGGACCCCCCCTCTCCCTGTTCTGCTGCAGAGAAAGGGAAAAGTAGGGATGCTGTGGGAGGGGGGGCGGTGTGGCAGAGGGAGGTGAGGTCGGGGACTCCTGGCCAGAGGAGTTTCCACTGCTGCTGCTGTTACTTCCTGTGCTCATGGCGCGATGCTTGAGTCTGAGTTTGTGGGGCAGCGCGGTGGCCTTCACCTCCGCCTGAGGATCCCAGCCCTGGGTGGAGCCCTGAGAAGATGGCACAGGCGAGGGGGGCTGGTGGAGCCCTGCACGGTGTGGGTCGTTGTATCTGATGACGTCTGAGAAGGAGGAGGCGGGGGTTTCGTCATCGTCCTCTTTGTCGGAGATGCGTTGGTCCACTTCGTTGGACGATGTGTCCCTGGGACAGGAGCTTGGTCGTCCTTGATAATAACCACCCTCATAGGCCAGCAGGGGGGGCTCCTCATCATGGGCACTGAGGTATGAACTCTGAAGGTGCTGGAGATGTTGGTACAGCTGCATGTGGTTGACCTCCTCCACTGGCGTGTGTAGGAGCTCGGCAGGAGAGTCAGTGTCCTGCTGCAGCTGCTGGGGGAGGACAGTGTAGACCTCCCTCCCTCCACTCTGCTCCGGTCTGGTCCGTTCTCTCTGGTTTGTCACCTCTGTCGGCGTCTTTGTGCTTACACAGTTCTGGGCCGTGGTCACCTCCGCGTCCTGGGTCCTGTCCACAGGGTAGGAGGCGCTGCTGGAGCCGTACAGGATGACGCTCCTCTGGGCGGCGGGGGGGTGAGGAGAGGTGTGCCCTGTAGTGTTGGTTTCATTAGCAGGTTCCTGATTGTTGTGATGCTGCTGCTGGCTGAGGTACGTGGCCTCCAGCTCCTGAGAACGCTGATGGATCTGGTGGTGAGTCGGGACAGAACCCAGGCTGTGATGGATGTTGAACATTATCTGGGTCGTGGTGCCGTTGGCGATGTCCATCTCCAGCCTGTCGCCCTCCTGTTTGATCTCGAAGGGAAGTGGCTCGGGGCTGTCCCTGGAGGAACCGTCGGACATGTCGGAGAGGGAACCTCGTGGGGAGTATTTGACCAGTTGCCTGTGACCCTCGTTACGTCCTGATTGTTCTGTTTCTGAGGAGTCTGATGTCACCATCACCTGAGAACCACTCGAGTAACTGTTGGAGTAGTATTGACTGGAGGAGGATAAGGGGGAGGCACCACTTCCTGTGTTACTTCCTCCCCCAATCTGCTGGCTCTTTTCGATGTACGAAGCAGTGCTTATGAGGCCGAATCGCAGTTTCAGCTGCAGCAGCTCGGTCTTCAGCCTCACGTTCTCATCGTTCAGTGCCATGACACGGTTCTCCAGAACCATGTCATTGAGTCGCCGCTTCTCTCTGGAACGCTTGGCAGCCTCGTTGTTCTTCCGTCGTTTCTCCCAGTAGGAGGCGTCCTTTTTATCGTCAGAAATGAACTCCCGCTTCCGCCTGCAGTTCATGTTGGGCTTAGGTTTGATCAGGCGCCCCAGACGAGCTGGAGCCTCTTCGATGGGCTCCTCATAACTGCTGAGGGTCTCCAGGCAGTCGAGGCTGTTCCCTGAGCTCTTGGTCAACGTTTTGAGTGCGCTAGTTAGATTCTCCATTTTTGTTTTGATAAAGCCAGTTTGAATTATTACTGGAGCAGCAGAGCAAAAAAAAAAGCAGCTGCAGGTCAAGTCGAAGAGGATGGTGATGAAGTCACCGTAGGTTCTACTGACAGGTCCAGTTCAGTCCAGCTGATCCAGTGTTCAGACTATGAGGCCACAGTGGATCAGATGTGGATCAGTAGGTCGGCCCGTCCACCTCTGAGTGTCGTCTCCAGGGGGATATCTCTCTTCTCTCTCCTCTCTCTCCTCTCTTTCTTGATGAAAGTCTGTGAAGATGAAAACAAGAAAGAGAAACAGAACATGTTAATAAATGTGGTTTTGTTCTGCTCCATCCTGGATGTTCATGTTCACAACCACATCGTTCACGTTTTAGAACGGGTCGCGATCAAAGACACGTTTCTGTGTCTCTGCTGCTTCTCCTCTACTTTGACTGCCTTTGACCCCAGTGTCGCTCGCGGCAACCAATGAACGATCACTAGTCTGAACACTGTCTGACCTTTTGACCCTGCTATTGATCTGCTCTGTCTGCAGCCCGTGACCCCTGACCCCGAGCCTGGCATGTTGATGTTGACTTTGTGATGTAACGGGAGCCCAGAGTTCACGGTGAGACTGATGTGACTGTTCTGTCACCAACTTTGTTAAAGATGAACATGTTTTAAAAAACAGATTTGTAATAAAACAGAGCCTGGAGTGAACTGGAGCGAGGACTCTGAGCCAGCTCTGCTGCCCAGAGTGTTTGGACAACACTGAGCAAACACTGAGTCAGAGCAACACTCAGGGATTTCTAAATCCTTCAGGTTACATTTTAGTTAAAAAAAATCCATTGAAGTCTGCCTTTAATCTCCTCCGTCTACAAACACCACTGAGGAGGAGCGAACCGCCTGCAGTCGCAGAGGAACTCAAATCAATGATGCAGATAAGGCCCACAAAGGCAGCAGCCCGCGTAGGTCAAAGTGACAAAGGGAGAATCTGTAGGTGACGTTCAAAGACCCTGGGAACGTTCAGGCCAAAGACAGATACAGCACTTTAACAAACAATTCAAGAATACACGCCACCTAGTGGTGTGATTGTGGACTACAGAGCAGGAGTCAGGCCATCACTGACTGGTCTGTTCAGTCCCGTTTGTCGCCCAACAACTCGTTACATAATTACAGGCGTGTCCTCACAGTGATTATGGATCTGGGCCCAGTTGGAGTGTAAAATCTCTTTTTTCTTCGTGTGGATTAATGCCTCGTGAACCTCTGACACGTGGCTGTTAGACACGTGAGAGACGAAGAATGAGGAACCAGGAGACTTTCTCACTGAGTGTCCTACTGACCCAGAAACTGTGGAGTAAACAGCGCTCTGACTGCCCCCTGCTGAGAGGCTCTGAGAGGGATATAGGTCGACTGAGCTGTGAAAGGTGAAGTGATGAGAGGAAATGGAAAAAAAAAAGGAACCCACTGAGCTGAGTGAGAGGACAAAGAGAAGGAGGTGTGGAAAATTAGAGCTTTGTCTAAATATAGACGCAGGTTTGGAGAGAACAGACGGAGCAGGGACGAAGACGTACAGTGACTGAGGGAAGACGGGATTGGAGTCAGATTGGAATATTGGGGTGGGGGGGTGGGAGGGGGGGCAGTGGCAACAGTGACAACAGTGACAGTGTTGGTGTTGCACCAACAGATGTCAGGGATGGAATGTGCCTCCCATAGCAACAAACAGTGGAAACAGAAGCCAGACAGTTGTATCAGAGATTCTCTGGAGGCTCAGCCTCGACACGGACCGAGGTTCAGGAACAAAAGACGTCGAACTGACGTCATCCAGCTGCACGACTGCCCCACGGTGTGTTTAATGAAGTCCTCATGTTGGCTCTGTGTGTCTGTCAGTCTGTGTGTCTGTCAGTCTGTGTGCCTGTCAGTCTGTGTGCCTGTCAGTCTGTGTGTCTGTCAGTCTGTGCCTTCGTTGCTCATTTCAGTGTGATGTTCCTCCACACCTCACACATGAACCTGTTAGTCTGTTAGTAACAGGCTGTGACACTGAGAGAACAGAGGTGACAGTCGTTCCAGTTTTTTTTTAAGAGTGATTAAAAAATGCCGTCCAATTACCAAGTCGGCCTCAGCTCCACTCCTTGACCCAAATTCACCAGTGACCTCTCACGTGTCATCACCAGGTCTCTGTGGCGCCGACGGAATGATAGTCTTGTCAACGAACGCTCACACGGGTCTATATGTGGCTCAAGCTGCGGCAACAGTGGAACGAGTTCCAACCCCGCTGCACGTGTCTTGGTGGAGCATTTCAGGAAACGGAGCAGGTCTGTAATGAGGCGGGGGCTGGGGGTGGTCATGTTCAGGAAGAAGAGGAGGAATGATGAAATTCTTCTTCCCCCCCCCCCCCAGAAAGATTGCAGTAAATGGCATGTACGGCGGGGTTGGGGGGTCATGGGTGGGGCCTGCTTGAATTCCAAATCTGTGGACTGACTCTTACCATGAAAAAGAGGTGAGGGGAGGGGAGGGAGGGGAGGGGAGGGAGGGGTCATGCCCATGAGGCGGAGTCCTATCTAAAGCAGACTCTTGTTCCACAAACATATCAGCCCTCTCTATGGAAAAGAAGAAGAAAAAAAAACCCCAGCAGAGTGACTCAGTCCATGTGCTGCACCAGTCACATGTGCTGCCTGGCCCACTCAGCGCCGCCTGGCCCACTCAGCGCCGCCTGGCCCACTGAGGGCCGCCTGGCCCACTGAGTGCTGCCTGGCCCACTGAGTGCTGCCTGGCCCACTGAGTGCTGCCCGGCCCACTGAGTGCTGCCCCGCCCACTGAGAGCCGCCTGGCTTCAAACCACAGCACAATAACAGATAACAGAGCACGGCCCTCGTCTCCTCCCTCTGCCCTGACAAAGTCCAGAGGCCACAGAGTGAGAACCACGACCTCCGAGTCAGAGCTAAATAAGCAGTTGTTACACCAGTGATGCAACGCACTTTAGAAACCGGGTTTAAATCCTCAAAAATGTGTTTTTTCTCCCGCCCTAAAACAAAGACTCGCTGTGACCTGATCTCTGTCTCTGACACATGTCTTTGTTATGGCGGCTGGGGGTTTATTTTGGTGTGCTTCTGATTTTGCCTTTCTCGCCTCTCACCACCCCCCCTCCCCGGCCCCCTCCCGCAGGGCTAATGTGACCTACATTCAGAGCTGGCACACAGACCCAGTGCGCACGCCAACCAATTAGCGGTGGCCGCGCCGCAGCGCCGCACCGAGAGCGGGGTTTTCACCTATTGCATAATCTGGTCTGTTCTTTAATCCAGGTTTTAATTATTCAGTTCATCTGTTATTACGCAACCTCCATCACCTCTGCTGCACAATACGCACACGCACGCGCGACTGGCACAATTTGTACGATGCGTAAAATCCCGCCAGTCTCTTCAGGCGCTGCCTCGTCCCGATGTGACATCGTGTCGATTCAACAACCGTGGGAGACCTGGTCCTCCACGCTGCGTGGAACAGCTCCCCACAAGGTGAACATTTACTGCGTGTAATGCAATAAAAAACGCTTTTAAGTAAAGCTACACCAAGGCCGGGGGGGCAACTCACGGGCATGCAGCAGCGACAGAGCCGGTGTGTGGACGCGGTCAGACGGTAAAGTTTTCTTTGTCTAAAGAAAGTGTCAAAGCCCAGAACACGTGTGACGTGGTGATGACAGCGGCCGAACACGTTCAAGTTCAGTTTGAGGAGATTACGGGGAAGTTCGTCTTTGTCCTGGCGCCGGCGGCACCACAGCAAATGAACCACCGAAATAATAATAAAAAACCAACAACAATAAAACACACACACAGCAGCGGAGACGGAACACGCTGTGAGGAGATCGGTAACCCCGCGTGTCTTCTTTGTTGCACTGCCTGACAAATCGTCCTCATGCATATTTAATCAGACCTCAGTCATCCGAGGCAACCGCACGAATCCAAGTGTGCCCTGAAATCTTCCTCAATGATACAGAACCACCTCCTCCACCCAGCCCGGATCAGAACGTGCTCTAAAAACACACCGTAGTACCGTAGTACCGTAGTACCGGCTCTCAATCTACACACGAACACATCTGACCCACATCTGCTCCAGATGTTCACATCCGCACCTCACCTCTGAGCAGCTGCCTTCACCGAACTCCGTCCTTCCTACGGGCTATTCTTGGCTCTCGGCTCCAGACCGGGCCGAGGTGAAGACGCGTGGACTCACAGAGCGTGGACAAGGATCCAGGACGGACGAGGACCGAGCCCCCATCCCTGCTGCTGCTGCTGCTGCTGCTCTCACTCCTATGTTGTTCTTCTACAGTCTGCTCGCCCACGAAGGGGTTAAGAGAGCTGCACATGCACAAATGCGCGCGCACATACGCACACAGAGCCGCGTTAACCTTTACAAAGAGCTGCTACACGTGACGCACAGAAGTGTGTCCTCCGAGTTTACACGGGATTTTTCCACTTGTCAGCCAGCAGTGGTCTACTGACCCAGAACCAGGACCAGGTCTGACGGTGGACCCGGTCACACAGTCCCTTTATACAGTAGTAGTAGTAGTAGTAGTAGTAGTAGTAGTAGTAGTACTGTAGTAGTAGTAGTAGTAGTAGTAGTAGTCATCGTCGTCATTCACAGTATCAACATTGAAGATTATTGTTTTAGAAATAAAATCTAAATCTGACCCCTGACCTGAATCCACTGATCCAGTTCTCCTTTGATGACAGATGAGCAAACAGTAAACAAACAGTAAACAAAAACAAAAACAGGAAACAAACAAACAGACAGAAGTTCATAACCTGTCAATCACAACAACAACACTGTTATTACCTTAGTAATAACCTGTAATAACCATAACTATATATAACTATATGCGTGGTTTATTACTACTATTGTTGTCGTTGACCTAGATTGTAGTGAACGGACCACACCGGTCCCTGAAGGCATCACAACCATCCTCCCGATCTAATTGTGGTGTTTCACATGTACGCGCACCGCGCACTGTTCTGGTCCAACGTCCACTCAGCCGCGGTCCCGACGACATTTGTCTGATATTCGAACAGGAATCCCACCTCTGGAGAGAACCCCCCCCCCCAGAACCCCCCCCCACTACTTCCTCTCACACACAGACGCACACACACTGAGGCACAACAGCCTCACCTCGACACCAAAACACACAGTCAAGAAGCGAGGGGACTCGAACCCATCACCCAACATGTGGGGAAGTGGTCTCCACCCCCCCCCCCCACCATCACGACAGCGACACACGTGACAGCACGAACTTACCTTTGAATGTTAAGTCACAAGTGAATCCCGGGAGTTGCGTTCGAGTCCAGTCCGCTGCTCACTGACACACTCACTGACACACTCACTGACACACTCACTGACACACTCTCTCTAACCGTCACTTTCAACACAGCAGCGCAGGTGTGAGCGGCTGTTCGGTCACGGTGCTGCGTGTCTTCAGTGGCATCATGTCATGTTTGCTCCAGTTCCTCCCATCTCTCTCTCTCTCTCTCTCTCTCTCTCTCCCTCCCTCTCCCTCCCTCCCTCCCTCTCGTCCCTTCCCTCTCGGAGTATTCTAAATGTATGTTAGTAGGTCAGTTGTTGCATAACAGGACGCTTTCGGTGCCTTGTCACGTTTTTTGTTTCTCCCTCTCGGCTCTCCTCCTCCCTCCCTCTCTCCTCGCCTCAAATCCTGCTGCAGGAGCGGAGTTGTAGGGGGAGTGTAGTGGGAGGAGAGACGCCCTGGTGGGGGAGGGATTAGGCTGCCAGCCCTACTCTCACAGAAGGGCCACAGACCCAGAAATTAAACAAACTTTCTGTTATATATTCTATAGAAACAGAATCTAATGGACTAGATAGGCTCCGCCCACAACAGACAACAGAACTCATAAACATAAAAAAACTTATGTCATCACTTGGCCTGACGCCAAAGTCTTTAAGACATGATGTGACCCCTCCTCCCAGGTCTCACGATCCATTCAGGGGTCCCAATCCCTATTTTGGCAACCACTGCCTCTGTGACCTGATTTGGCAGCATACGTTACCCCACATGACCCGGTGTGTGTGTGTGTGTGTGTGTGTGTGTGTGTGAGCAAAGACAGTGACAGGTACAGAACCTCACCTGGTCCTGAACCTCACCTGGTCCTGAACCTCACCTGGTTCTGAACCTCACCTGGTGTGACAGACTGTCTGTCTCAGTCTTTATTCTGAACTCACTCTGTATTTTTCTTTTTCCACATGATTCACTTTTTTTCTCCTTAATTCTCATTTGTCAGGAATCAACCTGAAAATTCTGCTACATTTCCCCAGGGAAATCCCTGGATGTGGAGCGTCACCTCAGAACCAGGTCTACGGAGAACCAGGTCTACGTAGACCTGGTTCTCCAGTTCACGTCTTTGTTTCCCTCTGAGGAGACCGACAGACCCTGAACTTCAGCCCCCTCCCCCATTAAAAACACACACACACACTCTCCTCCTGCACCCCATCTTTATCTCCACCCAGTACCCAACAATTTTTACCCCCATCCAGCTCAGTCTGTGAGCGTTTCCATGGCAACTGGTGCTCTGCCTGCCTAGCAACAGGCTTGATCTTTTTACTGGAGGAAAGAAAAGGGGGAACAAAGTGGGGGAAAGAGAGGGGGGGGTTGTATATTTTCTTCATGGGGGGGTGCATAGACTCAGGTGAGAACAGCAGCAGCAGCAGCTTCATATTTTTGACTTTATGAACGGACATTTTTGTGTCAGTGTTTGAAGGCGATGATAAAGATTTTCTAAATGCTGGACTAGTACTTTATGACCTCACACCCTGCTTGTCTTGTTTATGTTGTTTGTTAGGACCAGGTGGCTCAACCTGTGGTTCTCGTCTACAGTTACTGCCGCTCTGCTCATTAACACTGGCATGAGGAAACGTCTCCATTCCTGAGGCGTCGTCTCACTTCTGTTTCAGAACTCGGTCAGAGTCATTAAAACAACTAGGTCAGCAGTGTGTCAGTTGTTTCCTGAACCACTGACCTACTAACTAAGTCGTCCTACTTTTATGTAATCGTTAATCATGCCGCCGCCAAATATTTAAAATAACAAAGAGTAAATATAATGATGCTCACAGGGTTAGGGTTTATATTTCAGGTCAAACACTTTATCAACATGACACGCCCCCTGTCTGTCACTTCCTGATTTTCTTTTCTCTCCACTGACTTCTCACCTGTCCAACCATCTGAGTCGGGGAGGGTGAGGGTGAGGGTGAGGGGGATCGGGGGGGGGAGGTGTCAAACTCATTTTCACCGGGGAGAGCTGGTTGTAAATGGAAGACTGTATATACAGTTCACCTTGAAGAGCTGGTTGTAAATGGAAGACTGTATAGACCAGGGGTCCCCAACCCCCGGTCCGCGGACCAGTATTCATAGGTCATTTGGTACCGACCCGCGGTGGGAAACACAATTTACTTCAAAGAAAATCCAGTCATAACCGTTTACTTTCTTTATTTAATTATAAGTCCAGTCCTTGGAACCAAAAAGCTCGGGGACCGCTGGTTTAGCTGTAACTACTCCATAACTGACTAGTTCATGTTTCTGCAGTTACATATTATTTATTCAAACTACAAATATTGTTCACTGCTGTGTAATTAAAAAACGTTTAATTCCTTATGTTACATGGACTTTTATTAAATGCTTTTTAAGCTCCAGTGGGCCACATTTGGCCCCCGAGCCTTGAGTTTGACACGTATGAGCTGAGTGATAAAAAAACCCTTCACATTTAACCTGTTTTTTATTTTTTTGATGACACCTCATTAAAGTGGTAATGCGTTATTTTCCGGTGGTCTAGTGCTCCGTAAGAAACTAGAAGTCAACAAAAAGTTTCACCACCAGGGGCAGAAAAGATGTTTATTTCAGTGTGAAAATGTCAAAACAGACGACAGGAATAAGTTCAAAAAGAAAAACCCACACAGTGACAAACACATTCACAGTGACCCCCCCACTTATATTTCCACTCCTCCACCTGTAAATATTCACTCGTTTGTAAACATTGAAAACATTTTTAACGTTGTGTTTTTTCACAGTGAGAAAATACTCCAAAGTCCTAGTACTACTCACACGAAGTACTTCATTAACAGCAGGTTATTGGACAAACGTTGAGACTTTCTTACAGTGTTGTACAGAACATTTTGTTGTCAGTCTGTTGTGGTCTGTGTCAGTTGACCTTTGCCCTGAGCTGCTCGGTGAACAGCCTCTTCAGCTGAGCCACCTCCTCACTCAGGGAGGACAGCTGAGACTTCAGGTACGAGTTCTCGTGGTGACACTGCACCTCCGACTGTCCCTGTCCTTCTGGGGTGGGCGGAGTCTGGAGGTTGTGGACAGTAGGGGGCGCGGTGTACTGGGGGGACAGTCTGTCTCGTCTGTCCTGCCCGGCCTCCGGCTGTGAGGACCAGGGCCCAGAGTTCAGTCCTTTGGGGGTCTGTAGGGGGCTGCTTCTGGGGCAACCGCTGTCCCCGGTGGCATCTGCCCCGTCGCAATTTCCTGGAATCTTGAAACGCAGTTTGTGAGGCAGGGCCTTCATGGCTGTGTGGTGAACATCAGCAGGGGAGTGGTGAAGGTCAAAGGTCACTTCCTCCGCTCTCTGTGGAGATAATTTCCCATGATCACTGAGCCGGTCCTCGAAGAAGACCGGGCTGCCAACACTGGACCCACCTGGTGTGGAGAACCCAGAGTCCTCGGACAGGTGACCGGGGTCTCTGGAGCCGCGGGGGTTCAGGTGTGTGGCCGAGGAGCCGGGGGGGGCGGCGGCGGCGGCGTCTCCACTGTGGAGATGATGGTATGCTGCAGCGATTGGTAGGATGGGGGCGTTAGCGGGGTCTTTGACCAGGCCAAAGCGGAACTTCAGGGCGAGAAGCTCCGCCCTCAGCCGAGCGTTCTCCTCCAGGAGCGCCAACACCCGGCCCTCCAGGACCATGTCGTTCATGCGCCTCTTTTCCCGTGAGCGTTTGGCCGCCTCGTTGTTCTTCCTCCTCTTGTCCCAGTAACCGTCGTCCTTTTTCTCGTGAGGGATGAACTCACGTTTGCGTCGGATGCTGGAAGAAGGACTTTCTTTGCGTTTTATGGCGGAGGTGCGGCCCAGGAGGGAGCGGGCCAGCAGGCTGCTGGAGGTCAACATGGACGCAGCTTCGTCTGGGAGGCACAGGGTCACGGCCCCGCCCCCCACTGCACCCCCGGGACCGCCTGCTGACTTGGCCCCCTGCTGACTCCTCATCTCCTGCGACTCTTCCTCTAACATCCTACTCCCGAGTGAAAGGAAGGTGGAGAGCACCGCTGTGTGGTGCTGAGAGCTCACTGCACCCTCTGGGCTGGTAGGAGTGGAGGATGCTGCGACACTGCCACCTATTGACAGAGAGAGGGACGTAGAAGAGAAGGTGTATTCAGTGGTTATGTAAAAGTCATTACGACACGACGTTATGTAACACGGTTCCATCCCGTCAGTGGAAGGAGGAAGAGCCCGGCGTCGGTGAAATGTGGGGCAGTGGGTGTAGTTGTCTGTTGTCCTCGAACCGTGTCATGTTCAGACCCAAACCTTCTCACCGTCACCTCTGCTCTCTTCTAACACCAGATATAAAGTGACCATCAAGTCTAACAGAGCGGTGATGTTGATGGTGTTCGAGTCCCGCTGACGTCCGCTGAACATCCCGCAGCTCTGCTCTCACACGGAGCCGCCTGACACACATTTATTCACAACTCCTGCCTCTCTCATTTACACCATTCTACCCGCAATTCACACAAACCCAGTGTTAAACATAGACTGGGTCCACGGTGATGGAGGAGTAAATAGACTGGGTCCGCGGTGATGGAGGAGTTCAGAGGAGTAAGAACACGGAGGTGACGTAGCTTGACCGTAAACACACGACAGTCGAACTCGTGGGTTAAAGTGTAGACATTTAAAAAGAGGGTAAAAAGGCACGAACCTGGGGTAAATGATGACGCTGCTGCTGCTGCTCCTCTGCTGCTGCTTCTCTGCTGCTGCTGCTGCTCCTTTGCTGCTGCTCCTCTGCTGCTCTCCGAGTGTTTCTTCCTGTCACTGTGTCAGTGTGTGTGTCAGTGTGTCAGTGTCAGTGTGTCAGTGCTGATCCACTCCGCGCCCTCACTTCATATCTGTCAGCGTCAGTGCTGCCGCACCTCCTATTAGTAACGTGAAGTTCAGTTCGGGACGGAGTCTAACCTCACATGAACCAGGGGACGGTGTGTGTGTGTGTGTGTGTGTGTGTGTGTGTGTGTTGTTGTTGTTGTTCTTAAGAACTCCTCCTCTGTAACTCCCCCCTCCTCCCTACTTCTCCCCTCCCATTTATCACCAGCCTCCTCCCTCCCCCCGCCCCTATCGTCTTTCACAACATAGTTGTTCGATCATCGTCATCATCATCATCATCTGAACTCACTGGCCCCGCCCCCTACTGACACAATCCTGCCATAACAGTTAGATAATGTTGCGCCTCTGCTGTGACTCAGAGTCTGTTTATGAAATCACAGAGTTAATTAAACAGTCAACTGTTGGCTGAGGTGATGGGCGACATGTGATGGGTGACAGGTGATGGGTGACAGGGGATGGGGGACAGGTGATGGGCGACAGGTGATGGGTGACAGGTGATGGGTGATGGGTGACAGGTGATGGGTGACAGGGGATGGGGGACAGGTGATGGGCGACAGGTGATGGGCGACAGGTGATGGGCGACAGGTGATGGGCGACAGGTGATGGGCGACAGGTGATGGGCGACAGGTGATGGGTGACAGGGGATGGGGGACAGGTGATGGGCGACAGGTGATGGGTGACAGGGGATGGGGGACAGGTGATGGGCGACAGGTGATGGGGAGGTCAGGAAGGAGGTCAGGTGGATGTGGACTGTACTGATGTAGAAGAAAATAAAAAGTCTGTTGTTGTTCTTTTCTAATTTTTCTGAAGTAACGTTACACAACCTTAACCTCTGACCTCTGACCTCTGTCATGTGACATTGCGACACCACCTGTTGTTAGTTAGAAGGAAGCGCACAGGTGGAGCGGGTTCATGCTGAATTCCTGACAATCTGTGGAAGTCTTCTGTTGACCTCCAGTCAGAAAAGGTCAGGTGACCCCGTGACCCCGGAGCATGTGGTCTCCACTGGAGAAAAACACACCCTGAGTCCTGGAACCTGAGTCCAGGTCTGTGGCTGTTTCCTGTCTCCCTCCATGACTCACCCACCCTGAAGTTACACCAGGTGACCAGGCCTGACACCTGAGGTGGAGGTCAGCTGGGTCAGGGTCAGGGTCAGGGTCAGGGTCAGGGTCAGGGTCAGTGGGGCTCTGTCTAATCCCACATCTGTCCAGATCTGGACTGGTGACTAAGAAAACTGCAGTTAAAAAACATCATGTTATGAATCACCACAGCTGCAGCTGCAGACCCTCCTCCCCCCAGAGATGTATTGCAGTCTCTATAAATAGGCTGTGACTCAGATTGTTTGATCTGGGGGGGGAGGGGGGGGTCGTTTCATAACACACTGTGTCTGTGTGTGTGTGCACGCACATGTGGATGTGTTCACTGACTGTGGCTGCGTCTGTATCATCTGATCACTGACTCCGTCTGTCGCTGAGTTCACTGACCTCCGTCTGTTCCAGTGTCTGACTTTATTTTCACTGAAGCCCATTTCACCAAACAGACCCTGAACCACAGACAGTCTGAACCACAGACAGTCTGAACCACAGACAGACAGACAGTCTGAACCACAGACAGACTGAACCACAGACAGTCTGAACGAACCACAG